CGAATGGTATTGATTCACTTGACCCTCGCGTAAGTTTACCTACGTTTAGGTATTCGCTTTATCTTTTTCAAACCTCCAGGGTGAAATTGCCTTTGTTCTCCCTCACCTCAGGGGATGATTTCTGTAAACGAAACTACGAGTAACCCCCCAATAGAGCAATTTTTCGAGTAAAAGCTCGATGTAGTAAGGGTTGTTCGATTTTGCGCCGGGCATTTATATATATATATATAGGCTACAGTAGTGCAGATTCACCCAAGAACAACGACGAGGTACATAAAAGGACAGTGTATACATATATATATAGGAAGGGTAACCACGATAGGGTAGCAAACGCGCCCTCCACCCAATCCACGTATCATTGTGCAATCCCACAGACAATCCTCGACTTAGTGCTTGTTTCAACAAGGGATTATCAGCACCGATATTCTCCTTCCAACACCTTTCTCTATCTTACAGACAAACATTTAAATTGCCAAGATTATATCATCCCCTCCTCTCGTTTGTCAATATTCCCATGAAATTTCTCGCGCGGAATCTATGAAAATTAGCCTTGAAATTATACAATCAATGTTTAATTTCAACAAAAATTAAACTAAATAAAAATTTATTAATTGTTAAAGTAATTTTTTTTTTATTTTTTTAATTAAATATCACGGAAAGAAAATAAATATCAGATTTTATAAAAGTATTTTCAAGTCTTTGAAAAAAGCATAATTTTCATATATATAAGAAATTCTGAACTTTAGAAAAACTTTTATAAACTTAATATAGAGGATTTAATAAAATTTAGTAATTTAATTTATGAATCAAATACTTTTTACCAAATTTTAATATATTGTAAATTTCATAAAAGTTTATTAAAGATTAATATTTCTTATATGGCGATTTTTAACATTTTTTCCACGATTTGAAAATACTTTTATAAAATTTGATATTTATTTTCTTTTCGTGTCCTGAATAGATTAAACTGGAATTTTATATAGAGAAGTCTAAAATATGATAAAAAAAAAAAAAACAGTGAGGTGCAAATATTTTTTGAAATAATTGGAAATTATTAGAAAATCCGAACAATGACGTCACTCCTAATCTCATATTTTCTAACAATTTATCAATGTTTTATAATAATTATATTTCAATAAATATTAACAGTTTTCCTTTTCACAGTTTGTTTCAAAGATTTATTTTTGTTTCAAAAAATATATTTTTTTTTGGCAATGTTCGCATATAAGGATTTACGTCCCGAAAAATATTTGAATATTTTAGAGATTTCATTTGAAAGTTATAATGGAATTTTTAAAAATATAACCTTTTCCATTTTATACTTCGATCGTGATGTCTAGACTGTATAGCATTTAATTTTTATGACAATTTTCAGGAGCTTAATTTCAATCTGAATTAGAAGTTTCAATTTAGTTGAATTACGAGTATTATATACTCTTAAATTGTTTCAAAAAACTTTTATTGAATCTATAACAACAAATGAATTTTCATCTTTAAAAAAAAAAATGAAATAATTACGATAGATCTAATAATTTAATTCATTTTAGAAAATTTATAAAATAGAAGAATAACTGCATCCATTTTTCACATACAAAAGCAATTGTGGAAAATTCTCAATAATCATCAATTCTACTAAACTCTCTTGGGAAATTTCTTGAGATAAAACATATATAGAATCTCTATAAATATTTTGATACAACACTGCAATTTTTAGACAAGAAGATGTTCGAAAAAAAGAATATTTTTCATCTTAAAAATATCCGAAGAGAAAAAGTTTTGCAAAAACTAAAAAATATTTTTCTCAAATTAAAATTTCATATATATATATCTATATATAAAAAAATGTGAAATTTTCTTTCTCGATAAACGAGAGAGGATCAAAGAAGATATAAAATGTTAGCTGCTTTTTTTCTCCGTAATTATTTTAGAATTGAGATTGGAAAAAAAATACTGAGGTCCTTACATATGGAAAAGGAACAAGCGACTTGACGTGCACATTCAACTTCTCTAAGGTGTAGTAGACCTCTGTAGGCAACCTGCATCGATCCACTTGACCTGGCATCGCCCCCTTCTATCTTATATATGTGTGTATATAAACCCGACGATGTGCCAGCTTCCTTAGACTAAATTCTCCTGTACCCATTCCATTGCATTATTTAATTTAATTCGTAAAATTGCAAAAAACAGATTTTTCATACCAAAAAGTATTTTTCTTATTAAAAATTATTTCTTTACTATAAAGTATTTTTTACTAAAAAGTATTTGTACTAAAAAGTATTTTTATTAAAAAGCATTTTGTACTAAAAAGTATTTTGTTACTAAAAAGTATTTTTATTAAAAAGTATTTTGTACTAAAAAGTATTTTGTTACTAAAAAGTATTTTTGCTAAAAAGTATTTTTACTAAACAGTATTTTTATTATAAAGTATTTTTATTAAAAAGTATTTTTGCTAAAAAGTATTTTTATTAAACAGTATTTTTATTATAAAGTATTTTTATTAAAAAGTATTTTGAACTAAAAAGTATTTTTATTAATAAGTATTTTGTTACTAAAAAGTATTTTTATTAAAAAGTATTATTATTAAAACGTATTTTTACTAAAAAGTATTTTTATTAAAAAGTATTTTTACTAAAAAGTATTTTTATTAAAAAGTATTTTTATTAAAAAGTATTTTGTACTAAAAAGTAGGTATTTTGTTGCTAAAATTATTTTTCCACACTTAAAAGTGTTTTTGTACTAATACGGAAAAAATCTTTATATGCGAAAGGTTTCACTAGAATAGAGAAAAATTTAACTGAAACATTTAAAACTTTTGCTATTCTAATAAAATCTTTCGCTTTTCCAGGTAAATCTTTTTATCTATAAAGTCTTTTTGTATTAAAAATATAAAAGTATTTTTTTTATAGTAAAAGTATTTAAAAATATATTTCACATTAAAATATATTTCTTAAAATATTTATTTTTTATACTAAAAAAAAAGTAAAAATATTTTTAGAAAAAATATATTTTAATGAAAAAAATACTTTTTAAATTCCTTTGCTACAAAAATAATACTTCTTTAACAAAAAAAAAAGTTATTTCTTTAATAGAAAAATACTTTTGCCATGAAAAAAATAACTTATAAGAAAATGTTTTTAAGGGACAAAATACAATCTTAATAAAAAAAAAATCGAATAAAGAAACTTTTACTTTTTTGATTGTTTTCTATATAATTTTGTATATATATATAGTACAAGCTTTGGGAGATTTAACTTTTGCCAATATTCAACGTGTACGCAGTCGTTGTTCTTTTCCAAGGACGAGGGGTCTGTCGAGCACGGATAGAATTAAAGGTTAATCCCGTGGGGTATACCTAACCCCGTGACAGGGGTGGCTTTTGCCTCTTTCCATTTTACGTTGTCTCGTCTATATACGGGGACAGGTTTTGTTTTTCAGTTTAGACGCTGAAGACACTATAAATATTTGTCTTCTAAGTGCCATTGAAATGAAAGGAGTAATTCCTGAGGGACTTGAATATTTTCTATATACACTAGTCTTTATATCTACAAAAACGCGGCTGTATTCAATTTTTCATCTATTTATATTTTTTTCAAATAAAAATATTTTTATTTTAATGTAATGTATATTATTTAATTTTTTCTTTGCGTGAACAGTACACTGAAAAAAATTTTATTTTATTCAATAGGGTCGTCTATAAAATACGTCACACTTCAAAATGGAGGGGGAGGTCAAAAAAGGTAAAAAAAAATGTATGACGTAATTTATAAACGGCCCCTAATAATCTATTATTTATTAAAAAAATATTTACTAAAACCAAATAATTTTTTTCAGGGTCGTTCACATATAATAATTCACATAAATTAAATATATAACAATCTAATATATAAATAATAAATAAATATTGATATTAAATATTCATAAATTAAGAATATAACAAAATTTTTTTACAGATTTCTGAAAAAAAATGAATGATTAATAAAAGTGTCGATAAAATTCACAATGTTTATCATCAACGATTTAGAAGGAAAAAAATATCTTACTGTGCAAATTATATTTTTTGTCTCTATATTTTCAACTTTTCTCCATCAACAATTTTTAAAAGAAAAATTTACCTACAAAACATTAATTACTATTTTTCAAATTATATTTTTTTGTCTAAAAAATTTTTTCAACATTTTTTGATTAACAATTTTTAAAAGTAAAATTAAACGTTGTGCATTTCATCGACGTCAATAGAATTAAAAAATAAATATCATTATTATTTCTCACCACGATGATTCAACTGTAAATAATAGTCAATTAAACATGCACAAATCATTAATACAATTAAAAAATTTATAAATAAAAAACTAAAAATTGGTGCAACATAGTGACATAAAAATAAAAATTTCAAGACAAATATATTTTCACTGGTACTTCCAGTTACTTACATGTAACACACCTAAACACTAAACAAAAATTTCCGCGATTTTCCTACCTAGAACTATATTTAAAACGAAAAAAAAACCTACAAATTTTACCGAATTTCCTACCTATAGCTATATTTAAAGCGAAACAAAACTACCTCACTTCTACTAAAAGAAAAACTTCCTGAAAGAAAAACTTTTAATTAGTCATCAAATGAATTTATCAAAAAATTAAAACTTTCAAATTTCACATGCATTAACTTTAAACTCAATAATTAAATCAAAAATTTTATATGCAAAACTAGAAAAATTTATATATTATTAATAACTTTAAAATTACTAATAAAATTTAGTTTTTCATTTACAATTACTTTTTTTAAATAAAAGAAAATTACTTTAAATCATAAGAAAAAAATTACAAAACATTAAATTTTCAACAAATTAAACAGTATAAATGACATGCACAATATATGAACAATAAAAAATATTGACAAAAATAATATCATACATTATCATAATATATTATAATTATAATACATAATTATAATAATTATTTCTATAGTATTATAAATTTTGCCAATGATGTCACTATGCTGCTGTTTTTCCTTCCCTGTTTTTAAAAACTTATATCAAAATCAAAATATATATTTTATATTTATTTATATTAATTAAAATTTTTTTTTATTCAAGAAAATTATTGCAAAATTTATAATAAATTAAAAATAATATCTGAAAAAAATTAATTTTCAATCTGTAAATAATTTTAATTTCAAAATAATGGAAATCAAAATCAAAACAGGGAAGGGGTTAAATAAAAAATGACTCACCGATCGGCGAGTCCCACGTCGGGGCAAAAGTTACATCGCCACTTCTCGAGCGCTTCAGGCCAGCTCCCAAGGATCCCTCTTTCTTGCTCGCACTTCTGCGCGAGGCCGGGAGCGTTAAAAAAAATTTTATAAAAAAAATAAGAAAGAAAACAAAAAATTTGATAAAAAAAAAGTATGCAGGGACCACTTTTCTTCTTCCACATCCTTCCTGTCCTTCAGATTGTTTCTTTGATCATAAACTGAAAAAACACTGAAAAAATAAAAATTAATTAAAACTTAAATAATTTATCCATTATTTAAATGAATTATGTTATTTATTATTTAAATAAAAACAATTATTTTCGAAAATTCTACTAAATATTAAAAATAAATAAATAAATTTGTTTAAAATTAATCAACTTACCTATGGCGAATTTCTTCGTCGTGTTAGATATACGATGACACCATGCTCTCTCTCTCTCTCTTTAAATAGAGGAAAGCTTCCTTCCTGGAATAGACTGAAAATTAAAAAAAAACAAAATTATTTATTTAAGATAATAAATAATAATAATAATTAATTAATTCTGTTTATATTTTTGTCACTATTATTTCTAAAAAGATTTCACATTGAAAAAAGGGTTTGGTATTGACAACCAAACGTTTGGTTGGTATTTAAGCAACCAAAATTTTTTTGTTGAATCAACAAAATTTTAATTGTCTCAATCAAAATTTGTTTAACACAACCAAAATTAGAAAAAAAGAATTTTTGTTGTCCTAATATAACTAAAGTTTGATTGGGACAACGAAAATTTTGTTGATTCAACAAAAAACATTTGGTTGCTTAAATACCAACCAAACGTTTTGGTTGTGAATACCAAACCCTTTTTTCAGTGTTCATTTTGAAAACTATTTTTCACTGGCAGTAAATATTAAAAAAAATGTTTTCAATAGTATAATTTATCATTATTTCTAAATTTTGTAAATTTTAATTTGTTTAAAATTAATTATTGAATTAAAAAACTTACTATTTGCGATTTTCCGCGAGGCGTTAAAGATACGATAGCAGCATACTTTTTCTTCAAATATAGACGAATCTTTCCTCCTCTGCTACAATTGGCTGAAAATTAAAAAAAAAAATATTTTCTGGTATTTTAAATTGAAGTTATTATTTCTAAATATATGAATTAAGACACACTGCTCTTAATTACAATAATATTATAAAATTCTAAAAATACGAAAATTAAGAAAAAAAATTGATAAAACATACATTGAACTGCGCTCAGCTATGCCCGATCTCCTCCAGGAGCTGCTCCGCAACAAACACCTCTCCCTCAAGAAACGAACACCTGAAAATTAAAAAAACAATTTTTATTTTTTATTTATAATAATTATAATTATAAAAATAATAATATAATAAAATAAATTTTTTAAAATAATTTATCCTAAAAATTATTTGTTTAATAATAAACAAGTTAATGGATTATTTGAACCGAATAATTTTTTTTTTCAAAAATTTATGTAGAATAAATTGTAAGTTTATATATGTTTTTTACTTTTTATTCTTCAATGAACCGAAAAAATGTTAACATTGAAAGTTGTAAATTAGAATCTTGTAAACTAAATATATAAATCAAAATTTATATTTCCTAAATTGCAAAACACGAAGGGAATACAAGTTCCACTGATGCTTTCATCTAAAATGAAAACTTTTCAACTTTCCTTTTAGTCTGAAAGGGTTTAAATTTTCATGTAAGTATAACTAGAGGAAAATTCGTGTATTCAATCAAACGAAGAACTTAGAATCTTTATACAATATAGTTATTTTATAAACTTTTCAAAATTACTTAAATTTTATTTTAAACAACTATTTTTGTAGAACAAACTTTTGTTAAAATAACAATTTTCTGATGAAAATTATAATAGAACTAAATTAACTAAAAATAAATTATATAAGTAGAATAATAAAAATATTACTATAGCATTTTTTAAACAAACCTTTAGGAAAAAATCAACTAAAAAAAATTATTATTATTAATTATTCTAGAAAATAAAATATTCTTTCAAAAGAAAAAATATAAAAAAAATTTTTTTAATAAAATTTCTCTAAAATCTTATTTTTTTCAAGACCCTACTGAAAAGAAGATGGATTTCAAAGCTGTAAATAAAATGCTCCTCATTCTTAATTCGAAATTTGATGTCTTGTGGTTTATTACAAATGTGAAATGTAACTCATATAGTGAAGACACTTGAGCCGAAGGTATATGAAAGCTTCATTCTGTTGAGGATAAACGAATAAAGTGCAAGGTGTAAAGGTGTCCTTGTGAAATGATACGAGGTGCGCAGAATCCTGGTTAACGATTGTAGGAACCGAATGTACAGGTGAGGTGAACCCCACGATCTGGGTCAGCTCGACCTCGTACCAAAAGGCCGAACCTCCGACAGGTTATAACGACCATTTTTAAGGGTCATTCGCGATTATCATTTATCGATCAATTTTTTCAAACCAATATATATATATAGAAATATATTTTTTCAAATTGGATCACTTACATAGTTCATAAAAAAAAAATCCCTCACACCCCTTTTTTATCCTACCACCACGAAACTATCTCAACATTGAAACCAAACGAATTTACACAGCGGATCTTTTTCTAGAAAATAAAAATTGAAGACTATTTTCCCAGAGGGGAAAAAGGAAGATTGATCAATTCAAATGGAAAATCTTGGAAATTTTTTTTCAACTATAAATTTATTTATAGCGTAAAATATGAGATGCGGAAAAACTTCATTTTTACAAATTTTAATTTTTCCTCTTAAAATTTTTTTATTTTGCGTAATTATGGATTTTTTCCCCTAAATTCTCAAAACTAACAGTTCTTTTATTTCCTCTATTAGAATAAATTTTTAGTACAGGTAATTTTCGAAAATCGTAAATGTTGATACTACGTGGAAATATATAATTGGATGTGAATTCTATGCAAACTTTAGCTTCTATTTAGTTTCCAAACGAAATAAGTATCTGTGAAAGGAACATGTCCAAATTGCCGATAATAGAATCGATATAATTGTGTCTAATTCGATGATGATAAAGAAAAAGTCACAGAATTTTTTTTTACCAACTTCTAATTTTTCTTTCCCTCTAAGAGAAATGGTATATTTGTCTCCGAGCCTACTAACTCATTTATTTGTTGCAAATAATATTTTATTTCATTGAAATAAAAAATTTATTTGAGCCAAAGAAAAATTTATTTCTGACAAATAAAATTTTTATTTATGCCAAATAAATAAGTTAAGTAGGCTCTGAGACAAATATACGTTTATTTAACTCAAATATATTTTATTTGGTTCAAATAAATCATTTCTCTGGGTATATTACAAATTATTTCTATTTAATTTATCTTCTCATATATTTTTTACTATAAAAAATTTACCTTATTTTTTCAATTTCATATTTTGTTTACATTTATTATCTAATTAGTTTCAAATATTATTTTCAAATATATATTGTAACTTGATACATTTTCTTTAATTATTAAAAACGTAATTATTCATTTGGTTATTTTATTTGGTTCAAATAAATAATTTCTCTGGGTGTATTACAAATTATTTCTATTTAATTTATCTTCTCATATATTTTTTTACTATAAAAAATTTACCCTATTTTTTTCAATTTCATATTTTGTTTACATTTATTATCTAATTAATTAATTTTAAATATTATTTTCAAATATATATTGTAACTTGATACATTTTCTTTAATTATTAAAAACGTAATTATTCAAATAGGTTTCAATTGTATTAATTAAAATGATTTTAACAGGTTTCATTCGCTTATCGAATACAAGAAAAAAATATGTTTAAAAAAAATATATCATACTTTTAAAATATTCTCATAATTTTCGGAATAAATTTACCGAAAGAAAAATTATCAATAAACATTTTTCAAGGAAAATACATAAGCGTAAAAATAGTTTTTTTCCAGAAAAATAAATGAAATAATACATAAAATATTTGTTTAAACAGCAATAAAGTATTATTTGTCACAAATATAAATTTCCCTTTTATTATAATTTTTGCCCCCGCAAAAAAGTGACACAATTTTATTTATATTTTATTTACGTGAGAAAAATTTGAAAAATTAAATTGTTATTTTGAAAAAATTTGATTCTATTAATAAAAATTAAATTGTAGTAATTTTTTTTTTAATTTTAAAATATTAATAATTTTCAATTAAATTCGTTTTTTACACTACGTTCATTTAATTCAGTTTTATTTAAATTTTTCAGCAGTTCAGAATTTTTAGAGGTACGCAAATTTCCCTTGTGACATTTTTTTTCCGAATTGTGTTAAACAATTTTTCTCAGTGCCGACAAAAAAAAATGTAAATTAAATAAAAAAATCAAATTTTCACTGTTCACTTTTAAAATTTTTTTACATATATAAAAAAATGTAATCGTTAAATAATTTCTTTTTTTTAACATACATAAAGTAAAATTAAAAAGTTTTAATCCGAAATTTATTATATTAATTTTTTGTAATTAATTTAATTGTAATGAATTTAATATGAATTTTTATTTTATGATTTTACGTATAACTTTATGAATTTTGCTATATAAATATGGGATAATGTATGAAATACGTAAATGTTTAATGGATAGTGTTCCTCAAGGAAAATGAGATCAAGAGGTTCCTCATTGCTTTTCAGCAAGTTGCAACCGCGTGAGATTAACTAAGCGTACGTTCAATCTACAAGAAACCCCCCGTAGTCTTAGAAGATTTGAAATTAATTCTGCTCTTGGTTCCACCCACAAATTTCCCCTCTTTCTCTAAAACCGTGTAATCGTGTCATTAATGCATGTACCTATAAACTTTAAATTCAAGTTTTTGACACAACATCGACAAAATTACTTTAAAATTACTTAAAATTTAATTATTTGTTTTCATTTTAAAAAAATTATTTTTATTTCCGTAAAATTTACTTATATTTTCCAAACCTAATAAGAAATAAAAAATAAAAACAGTATACTAAATTATTCAATTTCAAATATAGATGGAATTAAATCTTAAAAACACAATTTCACGGAAAAAGTCAAGGCTAGTCGTCTTATATGAACCTATAAAAAGAAAACCAGAAAATTTACATTGCAGTGAAGAGAAAAAAAAAAATTCTCCTTTCTGCAAACAGCAGCTTATTTATATTTTCTTTATAGAATAATTTTCAATTTTTGTAATATTTGAAGAAATAAAAATCAAGAACACAGGGGAAAAGGAAATGAAATTTAAATTTGTTTTGAAAGAAAACATTTAAATGTTTCACTATTCTCAAAATTTAATAATTTTTGCAATATTTGAAGAAATATAAAAAATCAATCACCGGAGAAAAAGGAAACGAAATTAAAAAAATATTTCTCAAAAAATTATTTTTTTTACTGGCAAATTAATTGCATGTAACAAAATATAGGGAAATTGAAACGAAATAGAAAATTGGATACACAATCAAAAATTTTGCTCCAAAAGAGAAGGAGAGAGAGAGAGAGAGTTGAATAAGAGGAGTTGTCGACCTGTGGGTGCGTGGGGTGTCACATTTCCGGTTAATGTGATACTTCATTAGCCCCAGTGGAAACTCGTCGGGGTCGAGCTTCCACAACTTGAATTATATGATGAGCAGGAGAGTAAAACAAGCCTCGCCCTACGCATCCTCATATATATATTCGCATGGCTACAACAGTAAAACAAGAGGAGTAACCCCATAACAACAACAAAACCAACAAAAACGATACTGTCTACATATGTAGACGTGAATTATCAATGTTGTAGTATGTGTGGTGAGAGGGGTCGATATGGTTTGCGATAATGCGTTTGCGCCGAAAGTAAGAGAACAGAAAAGAGAGAGAGAGACAAAAATAGAGCAAAAAGCGAGACCTCAATAGACCTCGATTTGGCATCGTGTTCAAGCCTCTGTTGAAATCTCCGTAACCTGACACCTTGATAACTTCCACGAATGCGGGGTTGATGTCTCCCATTTCGTCAAGAAACAAAAAAAAATACCAAAATTCATAAAAAAATCGCTTTAAATTCACCTCAAGTCTAGAGAAGCATCAATATTCCCAAAAAAAAAATTCATTTCTGAACTGACCAAAAATAAAAAAAAATTTACTGTATTTTTCAATACCTTTTTAAAAACACATTTTCTATTTAAATTTTCCTAGAGTGAAAAATAAAATTATTCCAAGCGCGGATACCGAATACTCGGTTTCAATAAATTCCGGTTTAGGTTTCCAAAAATAACAATATATTTTTTTATATATGAAAAATTATGCTTATTCTGCACCGAAAAAAAAAAATTATTTCATTCAAATAATCAGTTACTTGACTATTATCAAATAAATATTTATTTGTAACAAATAATTTTTATATATTTATTTATAGATAAAGAATAAATTATTTATTTAAAACTATAATTATTTCTGTAATTGAAACAAAATTTAATTGACTCAAATAAAAAAAAAAATATATTTACACGAAAAAAAATTTTCACCTGTAATAGCGATAAGTTTCTCTGGAACAGCGATATATTTCTCTAGAATAGTGTAAACTTTCGCTATTTTAGAGAAACATATAGCTGATCTAGGTAAAGATTTTTTTTTTGCGTGTAGTTCAAAAAAATATTTATTTGATAACTGTCATCGATTATTTGAAACAAATAAAATTTTTTATATGATGATTATATTTTTAAATTATTTAAATTTTATTTTTATAAAAATTTTTAAGTGATTTTAAAAAATTATTTTTTACTTCAAATTTTACTTTTTTCTAGTTACTGCAAAAAAAATATTATTTAATATCATTTTTTCCAATTTCAATCCAAATAGCTATTCCTAAAGTTCCTATATAAATCCGGGGCATTCTATGGGAAAATTTCATTAAAAATTTTTTTTTGTCCTAAACATTTTTTTTCGAAGTCTATATGAAAAATAAGGAAATACGTATTTTTTTATTTTTTTATTTGATGAAAATGAAGGATTTTTTGAAATTTAACGTCAACGAAGAAAGTGTGTTTTTGGAACATTTTTTAATCTATTGTACTAAGAAATTAAAAATTATGCTATATATGAAATTTGTTCATTTTTCTCAAATTTTTCAAATATGTGCTCAAAAATAACGTACCTATAACAGAAGCAACAAAAAAGTTGAAATTAAACTTATAAAGTGAGTTTTCCCAAAGATGGACACTTTCGATTTTTAATTTTTTTTTTTTGCATTACAATCTCTGATGATTGAAGAATTTTTTCCCCTATCTGCGAAAGTGGTATTTTTAGTTTTTAAATTACTATTTACAATTTTTAAGCTTGACGCAACGATTTTTAGTATGTTTTTATGAAAATTAAAAAAAAACAAATTAATGTT